AATAAGTTGAGGTACATAGTAATAAAAAAACTCAAAACAAAAAAATGAGTTTATTTTATTACTATATACCTCAACTTCTAGATATAATCTAATACTTTGGGGTGTGCAGGTTTTTCTGGAATATGCTGCCATTACTGTGCTTGTTTCCAAAACTGCACCTGGAGAGAACGTAGACCATTGTACATGATCTGCGTTTGGACAGCACACTGGAGATGTAGTTGCTTCCCAGAAACAGAGAATCTGGGTGAATGTTGTCATAAAATGTAGGGTTGAATATATTCAGCTTTCTCTGAATTCCTGACATACAATAGATAGATGTTTCCTAAAATAACAATGTCAGCAAAGAGAAGGTCAATTCGTATGTGGTAGATCACTTGAAATAGGCTCTAATAACACATTTTTGCTAGCAAAACAATTCAGAAATTCAAGTGAGACTTGAATTAATTAGCCCACCTGTGTAACACTGTCATTAAACAGATCTAATTTAATAATCTCAGGACAGAAGATTCATTTGGGCTGGGGAGAAAGATGATGTTTTCGTGTGTGTGTTTGTTTTTGATTTACATTTGTCTTGATTGAGGATTATCTGTTCTTTAAGTCTTTAAGTAGTTGTTTCATAGCTGTGTTTCTCTCTCAACAGAAAATCAATTAAAAATTAAAGAAGAAAGAGAGGTGGTGGAGGAACAGTCAAAAGAATTGGAGAACCTTCCTCTTCCTTTGGTCAAAGAAGATGAAAATATGTTGAAAGTTGAGAAGGTGGAAGAAAAAGAAATTATAAAATTGCCAGTAATAGTAAAATTAGAGAAACTGTCAGAATACAATGAGGAAAAGCAAACAGTCAAAGAAGAAAGTGATTCATTTAAAGAAAATGTCAAACCTGTTAAAGTAGAGGTGAAAGAAAACAAAGTAGAACCAAAAGACTTAAAAGAAGTAAAAATTTGTACTGACAAAATAGTAGTTCATGAGCCAGAGAGACTAGACTTTTGTGTTAATGTCAGAACTCCCCAAGAAATTGTGGAGAAATCTGCGGAAGAAAGTGAAAAACTTAAAAATGATCAACAGGCAAAAATACCACTTAAAAAGCGAGAGATCAAGCTGACGGATGACTATGACAGTCCAATAAAGGGGTCCTTGTGTAAATGTGTAACTCCAACGAAGGATGTCTTGAAGGAAGAAGGGAAACCAGAAGAAGAGACTTTTAAGAGGGTCCCTACAATTACTGCTTTGTGTCCTGATGGGAAAGTGCTAGTAAATGGAGAGGTCAGCAGTGAAAGAATAACCCCAAGTGTCATACAAAATAATAGGTCGGAACACTCTCCTACCACAAAGGAAGACAGCAGTTCGTTAAAGGAGAAAAATGGTAGAAGTGGGGAGAAGGTATCAGACTCCTTAAACTCTGTTAGTACAATTATGAAAGTGTGCGATGTTGAGAAAAATGCAGTAACTGTGGTCAAAGAGGTGGGGTCTGTGGTCTCTGATATTCAGAAAGTGCCTTTAAAAGAGGAATCTAGTCCTGTGGATAAAGAGTCCCTCGACAGCATAACTACTGAAATGGTAGTGGAAGAGTCTTCAAACTCTGAAGACTGTGCCAAAAAAACTGAAGAGAAACTAGCCGTGAAAATCAGAAAGGACAGGCGATCGCCGCCTAATGAATGTTTAGAAAAGCCAGAAAATTCCACAAATGCATCTGCTCCTAAGGAACTGCCCAAGTTTGCACTAGCTGATGAAGAGAGTTTGAAAATTAAAGGTGAGTCTGAGGCGAAACCTGCTTCTCCCAAAGCTCCTGAGACGCCCCCTTCATCGTTTTCTGCTGAGGTGCCTCCTGCATCGTCTTCTGAGGCGCCCCCTTCATTGTCTTCTGCTGAGGCGCCCCCTTTGTCTTCTGCTGAGGTGCCCCCCTCAACTACTTCTGTTGAGGCGTCTCCTTCAACTGCTCTGGCTGAGGTGCCCCCTTCATCATCATTGTCTGAGGTGCCCCCTCCATCATCTTCTCCTGAGATGTGCCCTCCGTTTTCTTCTCCTGAGGTGCCCCCTTCATCTTCTCCTCCTGAGCTGCCCCCTTCATCTTCTCCTCCTGAGCTGCCCCCTTCATCTTCTCTTCCTGAAGTGCTCCCTCCATCTTCTCCTCTTGAGGTGCTCCCTCCATCTTCTCCTCCTGAGGTGCGCCCTTCATCATCTTCTCCTGAGGTGCCCCCTTCGTCTACTTCCCTCCTGAGCTGCCCCCTTCATCTTCTCTTCCTGAAGTGCTCCCTCCATCTTCTCCTCTTGAGGTGCTCCCTCCATCTTCTCCTCCTGAGGTGCGCCCTTCATCATCTTCTCCTGAGGTGCCCCCTTCGTCTACTTCTCCTGTTCCATCAAAGAAGTGCATTTTAGAAAAGGAGAGCTCTGATACTAAAAGTATAGTCCGTGAGGAAAGCAAAGTAGAAGAAAAAGCAGACCCTGAGAAACAAGAGGAAGAGCCAGAGGCTGTCAAGACAGAACCAGAGAGTTTAAATGATGCCCATGCTTCTAATCTAGAGGATTCCTCAGAGAGCAAAAAGGGATCTCCAGCACCTAAAAGCAAATTTAAATATAAGCTAGTTTCTGAAGAAGAAAGTTGTGCAGCAGATAATAAGGAAATAACTTCCGAAAGACAGAAAGAAGGAATTAAGTTAACAATCAGGATCTCCAGTAGGAAGAGAAAGGCAGAACCACCACCAGAAGAGCTCGGCGTTGGCCGCACATTAAGGCGATCTCCAAGAATATCAAAACCTACTCCAAAAATCGTGGAGACTCGGGATCAGAAATCAGACAAAAAACGAGCTGAAGAGGAGGAGGAGAAACCTGCAGCAGCCCAAAAACCGGAACGGAAAGATGATGCAAAAAAGCAGGAGAAGGAGTCAAATTCTAAAGTTAAGGTAATATTGTTTTACTACCTGGGAATCCAGATTAAGACAGTTTTGTCTGTAAGGAGAAAACATGAGGATGCATGAGGATATTGAGGGTAATGTCTGTTTGGTCAGCTTGTTAAAGTATCTTTCGCATTCTGGTTTGTGGATTAGTCTAAAACCTTCCCCTAAGTGAGTACGAATGTCTGTTGATTTACCATTTTATAGGATCTTTCATTTAACTTGGTTTGAAACCAACTAGACCAAATCCACCTGAGTAAATTCCTTCAGAAAGTGGAACGGTCAGATCAGTTTCAGCTTCTGCAGATTTATTTCCTATCTGAGGAAGCTAATATGAAAAAAAAAAAAAAGGAAAATAGAGAAGAGTCATAAAATTATTTTTGCAGTGGATTTACAATATAATTAGCTTTTCACATACGTGGGATATACATTTTGCTTTGGGTGGGGTTGTCTTTTTTTTTAATTTGTTTTTTCTCTCCCCACAATAAACTCCTGCTTATGGGGCCATAGTCTCAAAAGTATGCCAAGTGAAAATAATACTGAGTTTATGAGGTGAAGGAAGTTAAATGTGCATGTTTATAGTTTGCTTTTTCTATGTAATTATAATACCCGTTTATTCATTGATCCTCTCTATTTTTCTGGGTATGGAGCAGAAAGGGAAAACAACAAATAAAGGCTTAGTATTTTTACTTGTGTGGAAGATGTCATTTCAGCATCTTGGAAAAAAAAACTCACAAATCTTTAATTGGATATTTTGTATTTCTTTTCATTTAGAAAAATGTGTCTTTAAATGATAAAGTATTATGAAGCCTAAACTTAATTTAACACAATTAATTGAGTAACGCTGCATGGTGTTGCGGCAAATTTGCAGCTGTGCTGGCTAAAATGACTCACTTGGCTCTAGAGAAAATGAGGTATTTTGAAGATTTGGGAAGAAGCAACGTGAGTCTTTCTGTGTCTTCTCTTTGAAATGGCCTCTCGCAGAGGAGCAAAGTTCGGTGGACGGGCACTCGGACCCGCGGCAGGTGGAAATACTCGAGCAACGAAGAAAGCGAGGAGTCGGAGAGCGAAAAAAACTCAGACGAGGAAGAGGAGGAGGAAGAGGAGGAGGAGGAAGAAGCTGCGCCTGCTGATGACGACGAGCCGTGCAAGAAGTGTGGTCTTCCCAACCACCCCGAGCTGGTAGGTCTCTGGGGAAAGCCTCTGTTGACCATCTTGGCAGTAAAGGGTGGAACAGGAGCGTATCTGAAGGTACGTCCATCTTTTGGGGGATGGAGAGGAGTTTTGTGAGGATACTGTTTAGGTTTTACATGATATTATTACAAGAAGCCCCTGGTTAAACTCATTTATTAGAGAACTTCTTACTGCAGTGGCTATTCACAAAGCTCGTGTCAACTTGGTCACTTGTTTTAGCGGAGAGGGGTATCTGGAGTTCTGCCTGTGGGTGAATTGAATAGTTTCCCAGTTCTGTATGCCCCTGGGAGTCTGAGTTTAGCTCCACAGTCCTGCCATGGAATCAGCTGAGGAAACTGCTAAGGAATGCTGCGGCTCCCTCCTGGCTGTGCGGCCACGTTCCCTTCATGGGGACAGGGGTGCACAGACAGAACTGTTCATACCACCGTTTTGTGCGGGTGTAGTTTGGTTCAGGATCTAGAGAGCACTGCCCAGTGCCACAGAATGGCCATGATCCGAGTCGTGCAAAACTCGGACGTGCCTCAGAGCACGTCATAAGAGGAAAGCTAGAGTTTATGTATCACAGTTCTAAAATTCCCCGTGAAAAACCCCTCCTGGCTCCAGGAACATCCAGAGATGAGTGATAGAGGATTTCTTGGTTTTGGCACAGCTCGGAGTATTTACAAAGTGCTTCTGTGCTGGCGAGGAAGCCGCTTCTGGAACTCATTACGCAGAGGCTTGCCAAAAGATGCTCCTGTTTCATTTTGTTTCCGCAGATTTTGTTGTGCGACTCGTGCGACAGTGGATACCACACAGCCTGCCTGCGCCCTCCGCTGATGATAATCCCTGATGGAGAATGGTTCTGCCCACCTTGCCAGCACGTACGACTCCTCTTTGACTCCAGTTTCCTCTTTTCAGCCTTCCTTTTGGTTGTGGAGATCTGTTAATAAGTTATTTTTTACCCCCCCCTTTTTTTTTCTGTTAAATAGTATTCCGTGATGGATCGTAGGGAAGCCAATATTCCCCATTGGCCATGGAGTTTTATGAGGGAATATTACTCCTTTCCCCTCCTTTCTACTGTTAGTGATAAACTAAGTTTATTGCTATCAAATGCGTGTTCCTGGTGTGTAGGTGAAAATCTCCAGCACAACTTGCTTTCTTCTATCTTTTATTAAATTACTTCAAGCAAATGTAGCATTAAAATATAATAGCTTAATTTCTCCCTAAAGGGAAATCACATTGTGATCACATTGTATTGTGAATCAGTTTTTAGTTATCTTCAGAGAATTTAGTTATCTTCTGTTTAAATAGTCACAGTCTGGAATGCTCCAGGATGTTTTCCATACATGATTTGGTATTTGCAGCTTGCAGGGAAAGCATCTCTTTGCTTTAGTGCTACTTGTTGTTTATAATACGAAAAATTACTGAATTTGTAGAGTATGAAAAAAAAATCTTGAAAAGAGTATGATGAGAGAGGAACGAACATTAAAAAGGCAAGTGATGGGTTTGTAAAAAGTTTTATTTTTATATATGGCCCATGAGTATTAATTGATGTAGTAAGATCTGAAATATTTGGTAAGAAGATCATGCTGAAGTGCATCTCTGCTTTCTACTTTGGTGCACACGTGCTTTTTCATATGTCTTTTAAAGGTTGAGATAAGTGCCAGGCACAAATGTCACTGTGTGTGTAACTGTGTAGTGGCTATGCCTGTAAAATCCTCTGGTTCCTATGAGGGTACTTTGTAAATGCAATGAAAATTTGGTATTAATTTACAAATACGTTACAAATATGTTCATTCTAAACATCATTGGTGTCTGTTCCCTTAGAAATTGCTGTGTGAGAAGTTAGAAGAGCAATTACAAGATCTGGATGTTGTCTTAAAAAAGAAGGAGCGTGCGGAGCGCAGGTACTGCTCTGCGGTTGGGGTCGCAGCAAGTTCTTGAGCAAGCACTAAAGAACTGAGGGCTGGGGAGGGAAGTGTGGATGGGACTGAGAATTACTGAGAAACTGCTTTGATTTCCCACTTATTGGAGAGGGTATCGGGGGCACAGTGATGGCAGAGTTTACAAGAGGGGAGAAGGAGTCCAGTAATTGCAAAAGGGAATAAATTGCATTTGTACGAAGCTTTAATGGTGGTGCCTGAACAACAGTTTGGCTTTCACACACTTGTGATTGAACGGTTTTCAGCACTGGTTTGGCTGCACGCTTCAGTCAGTCCTGCCTTTGTTGCAAGGGTCGTCCAGATTAATGAGCTTTACAAACCTTGTTGCTTTAGGTTGGTCAACTTTGCTTTGCAAGATGCAGCTGCAGTAGTGGTGGGTCAGCTGCACTGCAGCTTGCAAAGACATTTTGTGCCCACTCCTGCCATTATCAAAGGCTCAGTGTAAACCAGGCTGGTGTGCTTACAAACAATTTCTCTATCAGTTGGAACTCCTTTCTGCGGTTTTCAGACCTGAAAATGAGCATCATGAAGCACAGCCTGCATAATTTGCAGCTTTTAGGATGTGTATTGCAGGTTTTTTTCAAAATTTAATAACATTTAGGCACGTCGCTAAACTTTTGGGGATTGTATCTTAAAGGGAAAATTCAGAATGCAGTACGAGGTCTTAGAAAAGCCTGCTCTTAGCAAAAGCAGTTGAGGATACAGCAGGTTTGTGCTGGTAGCACCACAGTAACGTCAGCGAAGGCACGAGGGAGTGTTGGGATTCTGTGCAGGGAAGCGCAGCGCAAGCCTGGCCTGTTCCCAGCTCCCTTCCAAACCTCCTCTTCGTTACCACCTCAGCAGTGGAGGCTCCACCGTCCTTGGCACGGGGTCATCTAATTCTGCTCAGAGTGAGTCTAGCTCCTGCTGTGGCAAAACTATTCTCAGCCTGCTATTTCTAATGAATTTGTAGCTTTGGAAATGAAAGAATTAGCTCTTTTATGAGGGAGCTCAAATTATGCACGGCCTCAATGCAGACACGTGGGACACAGAGGAACTGGCTGCTCTGTTTCTTGCTGGGAAGCCTCGTTACCAGTGAACATGGTTTCACTGTGGTAAATATCCTTATGGCAAACATTGCAAGAAATGCTTTTCCTCTCCAGTTGGCCCTGCTTGCTTGGAATAGTAGTATTGCATTAATATGTTGTTTGCTAATCTTTGCAGAAGAAGATACAGTTCATATTGTAGCTGTTTTCAGGGTTTGAAACAGATGTTTAACAACTCATTTGCAATCTGATCCTCACACCAAATTAACCTGACGTTTTGTACTGCACATCATAAACCTTTTTTTAAAAAGTCTTTAAAAAAAAGAGGAAAGAACTTTGTAAAAAAATGTGACAGTTGAATGTTGAAGTCTCTTCCAACTTAATGATGGTTTATTTTAGTAAATTACAAGGTAAAAAGACTGAAGGAAGCAAGAATTATGTTAGAAATCCTCCTTATCACAGCTCCATGTGTAAATTAATATATTTTCATGCTCCAAGTAACTTATTTTAGTGTAGTGTTTCTGCAAAGTCACAGGACCTCTGGCCTGCCTTTTTTTTGGCAAAGAGGGAAAAAAATAGCCAAGTATCTTACCAGGAACACACTTATCTGAGCCTTGAAGCAGTGCTGCTGTGCTTTTGAAGCAGAGGTGCTGCTGAGCTCTAGCTTTGGATCATTCCTTACCATTTAACTGGCAGCTTTCAAGGCTCGGACTGGCACCGAGACAGCAGTTCCGCTCTCCCTATGCATTCCAAAGGGTCGTGTCATAAATCCTCTTTAATGAAAACTTCCAATCTCATGGTCGTTGTAATGACTCTGACAAAAGTATAGATCAGAGTGTTGCAAAGTCTTACTTTTATTTTGCTCCCGCTGTTCATTTAAGATGCCCCCACAACACGCTGCAGGATTGCAGCTTTCTCACGTGCGGGCTGACGTCTGTAATCCTGTCCTGTCACCAGCTGGAAGGAAGGGCTGCTAAAGCCTTTGTGGACACCCCTTTTAATTCATGTTCGAGATACTCAGATTTCTTGATAGAGAATCCCCCTTGGGACTGTTTCTTCTCTTCTTCCAGGCCAAATCAGGTGGACTCCTTCCTTTCATACATCCTTTCATTGCTTCCCCGTAGCAACTATTACAACTACTTATGTGAAAGAAAATGTTTTCCGGGGTTTTCTAGGAATAGTTTATGACTAGTCCGTTCTTAGGGGCGTCTGAAGTGTTGAGCTGCTTCGTGTGTGTCTGGAGGCTTCCTCTGGGGGTCCCCAGGCTGCTCTCCTGCTCACAGGATACAGGATCTCTGTCTGCAGTTGTCTCTGCAACAGCCTGACTTTATCAGTCGTTGTTCAGACCAGTTATTTCCTACATGGTGTTTCTTGACTTTATCCTTCCTGCCCAAGTCTAGAATCACAACCTTGACCTTTCTGAATTGCATCCTGTTTTTCTGATAGTATTTTCAGTTCAAGACGATTTTGAATTCCTCTTCTGCCTTTTGGCATCGCCAGGATTAGTGGTGCTTATGGACTTGATACATAATGGCTATCACAAGATGAATATTTTAACTGCCTTTTTACACTCAAGTTGAATCATTTCCATGGGGTCCCCAATCATCAAACGCTGTTTATTGTTTGTCAGAACTCTTGGCAAAATCCATCACGTGTGTAGGAAAGTGCAACTCAATCATATTGAACATACAATTCCAACGAAAATAACTTTGCACTTGTAGCATGTAGTAAGAGCTGCATAAAATTACAGCCTTATTTGATATCTCTGCAGCCTTTCTCAAGGTTATTTTCTTCTTTTTCTCTCCTAAAGAAAAGAACGGCTGGTTTATGTGGGCATCAGTATAGAGAACATCATTCCACCTCAGGTAAGTTAGTATGACTATATCATTTTATTCTTTATTTCTTAAACCTTTTAATTGCAGTGTTTGCATATTAGATCATCAAGAAGGATGTTAATATCTGTTTTAGACTGAGCATGAATTTACAGTGGAAACTTAGGGGGCTTTATCGTGTAGGCAGTGCAGAATCCTCCATCATTTGAGGGGTCTCAGAACTGTCTTCCCTCCATTGCTAACACCTGGTTTTGAGCAGAGCTCTCTCCTATGCTCTTTCTTACTACTTTAATACCTTTAAAGTGGTTTTCTTAGCCTTAGCCAGATGCCTTAATTCAAAAAGAACAGATCCCAAGTCTGTTCTTGCAGGAGAGTTTAAAACAAAACTTGCTGTCTTTGTTTTAAAGGTAGACTTTCCACTCTCACTGTAGTAGTAAAGCAACCTTTCTCCCTTTTCCTCTGGTAACCAAAATGGTAAAGACTTTATAAATTTGAGAAAGTGTCTCTCACTGAAAGCAAATGTTTGAAAATTTCAGCCTGGGGACAGATTTTTGAAAATTAATGACTTGGGAAAATGTCATACAAATAACCTGCCTGGAATGTCAGTGAAGCTCTGTGATGTAAAGGTTTTAGAATTATATAAGACCTTAGCAGCTGGCCCTATGGAGTCAGCAGGAGCTGTGTAGGAGATGTATAGCAGCAGAGATGCCCAGTCCTGGGGTTTCTATGTCAGCAACGATTTGTTTGGTTGTTGCCTTTGCAAGTTGTGAAAGTATCACCTGAGTTATAATCACAATATTTTAATATAAACACAATGTTTTAATAACCTGAATCCTTGAGCTATGTATCTCTGGAGTTATGCTGCCATTAAGGCAATGCGAGCAAGTGCTTGTGCAAACACAGTAATGAATCATTCTATGGCAACTTGAAATGAGGATGGGTTAGTGTGAATTCACTCCTAACAAATCCGGAGGGAGAGGAGATCAAGCTCTCTGACCCTTCTTTTTTATATGAGCAGGAGCCAGAAATACCAGAAGGTCAGGAAGAAAAGAAGAAAGATTCCAAAAAGCCAAAATCAAAGCTGCTCGAAAGGAGGTCTACTAGGACCCGGAAGTGCATAAGTTATAGGTAGGCAGCTTGTTTAAATAGCTCTTCAGAAAACACAATCTGACCTTGCTTAATTGCTGAGTTTTAGTAAAGCAAAAGTCATACTGAAGGAGATGTCACTGCTGGGTTTGGAAATTAAGTATATTTTTTAAGCAACATTATGTCCCAGTCATAAATTTGTTATTATATTTGTGACGGGTCAGGGAGCATCTGACCATGAGAAAACATTCTGACCTGTGGAATATTTGGCATTACTTCAGTGGAACGTGCATTGTGCAAAGAGACATTATCTGGGGGAAATAATGTTTAATATAACACTGCTCTTGAAACCCTGACTTTAAATCTTCAGATGCAAACTGTCAGAATCTCTTTACAGACTGCACCATACACACACAACTTGGAGTTAACGGGCACAGGCACTGCTGCTGTCACTTCAGCTCCTGTGTCCACAGTGAAGCCCTCCTAGTGCCACGGAGTATTTGCTTGTTTTCCTTCAGTGGGGCAAAAGAAATGCTGAAAAACTTATTCCACCTGGAGATAAACCCGGGCTGTGTAGTGTGCTGGTTCCCTGCAGATGTATCAGCCCTCCGTACACCTTTGTATCGCGTTTGATTCCGGAATACTTGTTAGGAGTTGGGCAGCATAAAGTAATTCTTCACATTTCCAAGAAAGTGTCTTAATGATGCGGATGGTAAATAGGGTTTGAGTTATTTGGAGCAAATAATTTCAGAGTTACTTGCCTTACTGTAAAG